AAAGAAGCTGTAGAAAAAGCTGGATACAGGACGGCAGTGTAATTGCCAGAAAGAGTCTGAGAAAGGACTTTTCCTGTTGCAAAACACATAGCCTAATTGGAGAGACTGCAGCTGGCAGTTTTGGGAGGACACAGCCCGTGGGCTACTTGTGCTAATCTTAGAATGGCATGTTCGCTGCTTCCTGGGCCCCGGCCGGCCAGCTTCACGCCGGCAAGAGCCGCGTTGCAATCAATGCCTGCTACCAGCAAAACAAGAAACGCGTGGAATCATTCCAGCCTCACAGCTTTGATCAAATGCAAAGAAAGGGAGCTGTGTTTTTGGACTGTAACTCAAAAAAAAATAAAAAAAAAAAAAAAAAAAAAAAAAAAAAAAGGAAAGAAAAAACACAGCCACCCCAAAACAAGAGGTCAAGGAGGCCAACAGGAAGTGCAGCATCTTTTCTGGGTAAAGGCGAAGGACTGTGAAAGAAGCTTTTGGAGAAAAAGGGACTACGAGGGAGGCAACCCTTCCACCACAGAGACTGAGCACCTGCAGCTCCTCAGCCTCAACTGAGTCCTCAGTTCAGGTGTCCATCCTGCCATGCCCAGTTATCCTGGGAGCTGGTATGCTCAGCCAAGCCTCCCAATCCATCCTGCCTCCCCCAGGTTTGTTCTTTGCTCCCTCCTCTTTCCAGCCTGCCCTCCCTTCCCAGGAGGGAGCCAGCCTGCAGCTGGGAACTGCTCTCCCCCCCCACTTAGCCCAGCCAGCATGTTTTGTGTGCAGCAGGTTGCCCTGCTGATCCGCTTACCTCACTGTTTCTTCCGTTCCCCTTATCTGCCACTTCCCCTGCCTGTAATTACTCTAATGAAGGCTGAAAAGATGGGGGAAGGTGCTAGAAATTCACTGAGAGGGGACAGCTTGATACGGCTTTTCTGGCTGGGTGCAAGAAAGCTGGCCCAAAGCGTATGGGAAGTTTCATGGGGGAGATGTAGTCAGGATCCTGCAGACAGGGAATGGCAGACATTTACTGGGGCTCGTGGGCCTCGGAGAAAGAAGATCGCATTTATTGGGAGCATTTATTTACAACTCTCTGAGAAAGGGAAAGGCTCTTTTCCGCAATGCAAACAGGCATTTTTTTCAGCCTGTTTCATCAGCCATGCTGCTCCCTACCAGGTATTTCAGAGTGCTCCAAGCTGCAGATGATGAGATGATCCCTAATGTAACCTCCTCGATTTGCTTTCAGTCTAGAAACTAGGAGTCTAAAGAAATTCCTTCTTTAATATGATTTCGAGTTTCCACAGCTATTTCTCCAGCCCCTATAGTGTGGTGACCCAAAGGAAATGGTTGGTACGTGGCCCAGGATGGTGTTTTGAGGGCCTTTCAGTTCCAGTGATGCTGAAGGAGTGGTTGTGTTAACCAGACAGCAGGTCCCTCCCAGGCAGAGCAGCCTAAAGGGAGCAGGAAGGGCTCTGCTGGAGCCTTTGGAGAAACAGAAGTATATTCCTCTAGCGACAGCCTTTGGGAAAACTTTTTGGCTGAGAAGCAGAAGAGCACTGAGGCAGAGGGGTGAGAAGTGTGGTGCTGGTCATGTGGTCGTGGTGGTGGTACAGGGAGCGGAGGTATGAAGTTCCTTGCTGATGGTTTGTAGCCTGGTTTGTTGTTTTGAGGTTTCTGCCTCTAACAAAACAAGGATTGTTGGATAGATGTTCTCAATTCCTTTGGTTCAGTTTTCCCTGGCATCAGATGCTAGAGATGAAGAACAAAGGTTTCCTTTCATCCACTTTGATTTCAAGGCTTTCTACTCATATTGCTTGATAGACACGTAGCAAAGAAAAGAAGGTAATCGTGGGATGACACCAGGGCTGTGTGCTGTGGGAAGAGCCACACCATCCAGTCTCCAACAAGCCTCCCGCTTCTCAGCCTGTTGTCAACCCAGGGGAAGGGAAGCTTCTCTCAGCCTTGGTATTTCCTCCCCCCCTCCCCGCCCCATTTCACTGCCAAAAAAAGCAGAACAGCACAGGGACATCCCCAAGCAGATGCTGGCTTGCTGTGAGGACAGGGAATGGCTTCTTGCAGCAAAAACACTGGAAAAGGAAGGGCACCGGTGACCAGGGCAATGAAAAAAGGGATGGGAGGGCTGAGAAGGCGTATGGGAACGTCCTTTACTGCCCCGCTCCATCTGCTCGTTGCAAGGAAAAGATGGGGACACTTGGCTTGAATGGCTTAGTTTGCTTCCAGTGAAAAATACTGAGTGTAGGCTCTTCAGGTACAGCTGAAAGGCTCTGCATGAATTACTGGTTTTCTGGGATATTTGAAAACGCTGCTAGGTCCTGTCTTCCCAAACCTCTTGCTCTAGATGGGATGATTGATGCCAGATGTGAGAAACTCTGCTTGAAATCCCTGCTTACTCTTGAACTTTGTAATACATATGCAGGCTTCTCTCTAGCCTGCTTGCTTTTCCCAGCCTTTGCTCCTAACTTGTTGTTCCCAATTTGTCAGAACAGGCCAGCAGATACCAACTCAGAGGTGGACAAGTCGGCAACACCCTCCGTGGCTCAGCTAGCAGGGAAATTCAAAGAGCAAGCAGCCAGTATCACTGGAAAAGAGGTAAGGAGCGCTTGCAGCCACCAGCAGGTAGTCAAGTGGGAAATGAGGCACTCGCCTGAAGCAGTTAGAGCATCGGTGATCCGAGCATGGGTCCACCTTGATTTTGAATCTTCACAAAGGATCTGTGTCCTAGTGCAGTGCAAGCTGTGACAGTATCTCCCATGCTTCGCCAACTTGCAGATGAGTATTTTGGTAGAGCCATACCACAGGACAACTAGACACTGTAACTGAGGCACTGTAAAGCTTGGTAGGGTACGCATATAGGCCGAACAGTAGCAGACAGCAATGCATGTACTGTCTGGGCTGGCTTTTGTGGGCAGAGGGCAATAATGAATAAGGAAATGGCTAATATGGAGCCATGGAAAAAGAAAGCAAACAACAGATTATGCAGTGTAGAAGCCAGTGGTTGGCAGGTCACCGGCACCTTGTTCACAAAAGGAGAAGGTTTCCTCCAAGTAATTCCTTCCGTATGGGTCTGAGAGAGAAAGCTGTCTCTTTACTTGCCCTCACTACCTCTTGCCAGTGACTTTTCAGACTCTGTGCCTATCTCTAGCATGCTGAAACTTTATTTTATTGAAAGACCGCTATGCCAAGCATTACCTCCCAAGCTGTCTTGCACCAGATAAGCAAAACAGCAGAACACCTCTCTTAGGAAGAAAGGAAAGTCAGGGTGTTTATGGATGAAGGTTGACATTTTAGGAGAGCTCCTTGATTCATTATTAGCACTTTCTTTAGAAGCATAGATTTTTATTGGTGGCCCTCTTCAGTCAGTGGGTGCTCCTTTAAGGCTGAACTGCTTCCTTCTGCTGCTCAGCTGATTTCAGCCTGTCCCAGGCTGGGCCTAAGGGGATCCTCCCTGTCACCCTCCTGTCTTTGGCTGGATGCAATGGTGACCTCTGTCCTGCAGGGCTGGCATGCCACCCTCTGTCCAAGGTTAGCACTCCCATAGCTGGGCCCCAGGATGGGAATAGCCAATCTCTTCCCAAGCACTTTTTCTTTTTTTTTCCCCTCTAGTCACCACTGCACCACTCCATCTGTCCCACTACAGTCATTTCCTCTTTTTAAGGTATGGGATTTAATCACACTAAGTCCCTCACCCTTCAGAAGGCAGCAAGTTCCCAGACCTCTCTTGTGTTATCTGCAGACCTCTGCCGCTCCCAAGCCAAGGCAGCGTGGAGGGGCCCCGCGGCGGGGGGAGACTCATTTTCTCCAGAGACAGAGGAGGACAAAGTTTCCTGTCTTTTCTCTCCCAGCCATCTGTCACTTCCCCACCGGCTTTCTCAGGCTGGCTTCAGATTAATGGCTGAGTTGATGGTCTTTAACCCTTGCTTGACCCATGCCAGCAAAGGGCAACCTATCAACCAGGGAACCTCTGATACATTCACCGTTCAACAGCGCAGCATTTCATGGTTACAAAACAGTGGGGTTTCAATAAGACGTGATAGTATTGCTTCCTAGCATGACATAAGGATAAGGGCAAGGCTGCCCCTGGCTTCTTAGAGATGCAGTATTGGCATGGCTGGGTGCAGCACCACCAGAAGTTAATCCACATCAAGTCTACAGGTCCTCCAAGGCAGCCAACTCTAGAGAGGGCAAAGATGCCGTAATCCAACTTTTCACATGCCTGCCTGTTAGAAGGTAACAAAATTACCCGAATATAATATTGTGGATATTATCTAAAATCCACAATATTATCTGAGTATTTTGTCTGTTAACACATAAAAAGCATCTTATCAGCTTGTCAGGAGACTACAAACCTGGCATAAAATTAGAGACAGCTTGGCTTCAAGACCAGAGCAATAGGTCTGGAGGAGCAACTCCATAGGTGCTGTGCTATGTGTCTCTTCCTTCCTAGTGAGCACTCTCGTACTTCTGAGAGCTCAAGGACCAGTGTCCCTGCTGTTAAATTGCCTTGTTCCTTCTCCCCTGGAGAATCTGTTTCTTAGTCAAATGAAAGGTTACAGCTGCGGACTTGTGTCTGCAAGCTGCAGAGACATTAGAGAGAAACGAATGGGGCTGTAGGGCATGTTGAAAAAGTCAGAATTCCCCTCTTTGCACCTAAAATATACCAGATGCAAAATAGGAAAATCACAAACCAGGTAGGCAGCTGAGACTCATTAAAAGGAAATTCTGGTAATAAGACGGGAAAGAGAACAATAACAAGCTATTCCAGTGTGAGGGGGTTTCCAGCAGGATGCTTTGAAGGTGAAGCTTCTGGGAAGGCTCCTCCACCCTCCACAGCTTAGAAGAGTGCCTTCTGCACAAAGCCCGAAGTGTTGTGGTTCATGCTGTGGAAAGAGATATAGACTTCTTTTCTAACATGAGGCTTGGGCTTGAGATGTTACAAGCACACCTCACTGGCTGGCCACATGCCCATACGCTAATATCTTGTGCTGCCTTTGGATGACTCCTTTAGGCAAGCTGAGCCCTGTCATCCAAGCAGGTCACTTACAGAGCATGCCCTTTGGTGCTTGAATTTCACTTCCTTTTTTAAAATCCCCAATTTCCCTGCTGCTGAGTTGGTTGTTTTTTTCTCTTAGGTACCACCGCATAAGCCAACTCGGAGGAAACCACCATGCTCCCTACCATTGTATTCCCACAAAACTGAGACAAGTGACAATGGTGAGCAAGTGAGTATCAACTGGATAGAGGGACGAGGTCTCTCCTCTCTGCAACCTGTTTTCTCCTGAGACACAAGCTTGGAGCCAGCAGAGGTCAGGCTGTGCAGCAAAAGTCATCAACCATGCAGCATCCAACCTTCCCCTGCTCACACACACGTACTGACTCAGAGTCAGCTCCATGCTGTTTCCCACTCCTGTAGCATGGATACACATCCCATTTCTACTGCTTTTGTTTTTATCTTTAGAGCACTGATGGATCCACTCAGTTACCACCTTTCAAGCATTTTAAAGCAGGAACTGATGGCATTTATTAGATTTGAACAGCACGTAGCACAGGGAGCATCCATGCTGTTTGTTGCCTTCAGATGAACTCTAGAGGTTTGAGTATAATGGCGTAACAGTTCTGCTCTTGAGATTTTTCCTTCTTCAGAAAAAGGGAATAATTAATCCAGAGTGAAGAGGGGGTTTGTCAGCAATACCCACAGAATATTGTCTTAAGGTGTCCTCCATACAGCACCCTTGAATGAGTGGGTCCCAGTAAGCCAACTGCTACTCACTAAAGTTTATGCTCAGGCCCTTTACAGTCACTTCTGTCCTTCTGTATTTCAGGGTATGAGGTCTACCCACCAAATGTCACATTGTCACCTGCCCTTAACAAGGAGGAGGTTCTTTGTCCTTATTTTCTGACAGCTATAGGCTCTTGCTGCCTCCATGCCGAAGGAGCACAAGCTTTATAATCTTAGATTCCTTCCTTTTCCTTTGGACGTGAAAAAAGCAATATGCCCCTTCTCAAAGCGACACTCTCCCTTTCTCAGACTGTTTTCAGCCTTTCGTAGCTCTTCCTTTCCAGCCACTTAGGCCTTTCCTGCCCATACTAATTGGATACCTGTTAACTCTGTTAGTCAAGCGGTGGCAGAAAGTTTCCCACCACAAACAGTTCACAATGTTTGCCAACATTAAGGCTTGTACTCTTTAAGAGGTAGAATTTTAATCTGTCTGGTCCTGAAATAATACCGGGGGAAACTGTGTAATAGGTTAGATACCTTAGTGAAGCATGCAGCAGCAGAGCCATTACATATCACCTAACTCAGATACTTCAGCCAGAAAGCAATCACCTTTTCTCCCAGAGGAAGGATACATGTATGTAGAGCCCTAGGATGGCTGGATAACAAAAGGGGAGCAGGATCAGGAAAGAAGAAAGCAAACTTTTGTGTGAAGATGCTAGATGAGACTTCATTTGCTTCCCTACTAGCACTCTCTGCTTATCTCTTCCAAGTTTTCTGCCTTCATTGTATTTCCTCTTTTTCACCTACTTTACTGTGACTTTTCCTTGTTTCATTTTGTTTTGCAGAAGTGCTCTCCAAATGCTGGCCCCATTCCCAAGGTCAAGGTGAAAAGCTCCCCCATGATTGAAAAGCTGCAGGTAGGTCCTGGAGGAGCCCACGTGGCTGCCCCAACAACTTAAACCTGATTGGCATTTGTCATAGCTACTTCGCTTGAGGAGCAGCCGCAGGGGAAGGGGATCCAGGAGCCAAGCTAGGGTAAGCAGGGCAGTGGCCTCACTGACAAGGGCCCAGTCCCACAATACCCAAGCAAGGAAGGCAGAGCAGGCCTGGTAATGGTAACCAGCATCAGACCCAGTCCAACGATCCTCAAGCATATCCAGTGCATGGGTCAGGATCACTTGGATCTGCGGGGTACGCGGCCAGGCATGGGCATGGCAGCAGCACAGCTCAGGTAGGGAGCAGGGGCAGGAGCCTCAGTTTAGATACAGCTCACGAGAGAAAGTGAAAGAAACCTTGGCTGAGACTTCTTCCAGCTCTTTCTTTGCAGCAGTCTAAATCAGAGTCACCTGCACCCTATCGGGGAGCTGGCCTCGAGCGTGGGCAGCTACAATCCTGGCAGTGGGGGGGAGTGCGCTCCGGCCTCTGGCACTCCTCTGTGCGTGCCTAGAAGCTCTGCGCTTCCCTCTCCTCAATGCCCCCGGTTACGCACAAACACACCCAGTGCTTCTTGCCCTTTCTGTATCTCCCCGCAGCGCACGATTCATGCCGCCGAGGGCATCTCAGCACTCGATAGCCCGTAGGCATAGCGCCCTGCCAGCTGCCTCTCCTGGCAGCACGTGCGACTCCAGAGCTCAACGCCTCCCGGCCGCCCTGACATGACGTACACCTATTCATAGCACTGTCCCTCTGAATGCGCCCAAGGACATTTGCCTACGAGAGCGTCGCAGTGACAGGCCAGCAGGAAGCGTTTTGCCATGCTTAATCACAAGCTTGCTGCTTCCCATGGCCTCCTCGCTCCTCGCGACTGCCCAGATCGTTCAGAAGACCTGCAGACCAGGCTTGAAAATGCGAGGTCTGCTCGGGCACACATAGGGATGATTTAAATCTCAAAGTGATTGCTGGCTGCTTGTTCAGACTTTCTCCTGGCTCAGCCACTGTAGATTGTGCTGGCTTGGCTGGGTCACTGGAAAATCCCAAAAGGCCTCAGGATGACAAAAGGACATGTCCTGAGATCCAGCTGCTGGGGAAGGGCAAATGTCCAGTCATAACTTCTCTGCCCGGGCTTGTTTGTTGACAGTGTCACCAAGAGAGACCCGTAACCAGAAGGTTCGTGGGTTGTGACAGCATAGAGATGCGGCAGCTCCCGTTGCAAAAGCAAGGGTTCCTCCGTGTGGTTACCGCGTGTACTACATGCTGGTGTCATGCCCACCCGTGACGGGGATCTTTCTTTGCAGGCCAATCTGGCTTTTGCTCCAGCTGCTCTGCTGCCAGGAGCATCTCCCAAAAGCCCTGGTCTGAAAGTCCTGGTTTCTCCGTTCAGCACCCCTCCCTCAACGCCCAGCAGCCCAGGGATTCAGTCCCAGCCCACTGAAGCGAACGAGACGCCGGTCAGCTTTGATCAACCCCCGGAAGGCACTCAGCTGCAATTCTATAATAAGGTAGGGTATGTGCTAGGATTTCTCCATCGCAGCAGGATAAGGCTTGCTTATCATTTGGGGATGAAGAGGAAGAGAAGGCTGTAGCCCTCAGTCCTGCCATAACAGCTTGCATTTGTAGCCAAGGGAGGAGATCCACGTGCTAGGTTCAAAACAGCTTTTCTGTGTAGCTCTGTGGAGTCTCCTCTCCGCCCTCCCTACAGCTCCAGCAGCCTTCCTGGCCAAATGGGTAAAGGGAAGGGGTGAAGCGGCAGGACTCAGTCACTTCAGCTCAGCAGTAACAGAGTGGCTGGTACCTGGGCAGGGAACACTGTGAGGAGGTGGTGCCACGTGCCAGCAAATGTCAAAGGTGGCTGAGGTGCAGTTTAGGGAGCCACGTAGGACACAACGGTTTGCCAGGTGTCCCAACAGAGTGCACAGCACTTAAATGGGGAGCTGTAACCTGCATTCACCATCATCAATTAGAGTACAGCCTCCTTCCTCAACCACCAAACTGCCCAGAGTAGAAAAGGCTGAGACATCCGAAGTCAGCAGCATCTGCATAATGAATGCAGCATTCTTGGGTTTAGGGTCTAACTTGGACAGGGAGCCACAGTTTAAACTGGGACAATGATCTCCAGCACCAGCTTTGCAGAAGGAAAGGAGACATATATTAGGGAGCTGCTTGTCCTCTGAAGCAGTCTCTCGGGGGTAGGAGCCCTCGTCTTCCTACCTCTCAGTAGGAGAGCAGGAAAAGTGAGGCCACCAGCATAGCAATCGACTTTCCTGTGTTATTTTCCTCTGTTGTGCTTTCCTGCTTTGCAGTACTGCTTTCTTTGTCTGCTTCAATGTCTGCTTTTCCTGCCTCCAAGGTGCGGACGCGGGGATCAATAAAGCGCAGGCCTCCCTCCAGGAAGTTCCGAAGATCTCTGTCCGACTATGGAGATGGGGAAGATTTGGGGGTCAACATCTCTCCAGAAAATGGTGCCAAGGAAGATGGGGATGAGGTGTTCGGGCCCAAGGGCAAGACAGAGGAGGCAGAAACAGAGAGCAAAGAGCAAAAGAAACAGACAGGGTCTGATGAGAAGCCCCCATCAAGAAGAGGATCCAGCAGATCAGAAGATGAAGAAAAAGGGGAAAAACAAGCAGACAAAAAGACTCCTTGCAAGAGTAACGGAGGGGATACAAAGGAGGAGGAAGCGTGTCGTGGTGCCCCAGGGGAGGAGAACTCTCCCCAGCCTCCCTCTGAAAACACTGAGGAGAAAGTGTGTGAGGGCCCCCAGGGAGAAGAGCAGCAAGGCAGTGCCTGTGAGCAGGAAAAGGGGGACAAGGAGAAGGAAGAAGCTGCAGCTGAAGCTGAAGCAAAGGAGACCAGTGAGAGCACAGATGCACGGAGAACATCAAACACTGAAGAAACACCATTGGCACTCGAACCTCTG